AAAAAAAAAAAAAAAAAAAAAAAAAAAAAGAAACATATATATAATAAAAAAAATAAAATTTATTATATATTTAGTTACAAAATAAATAATGTTTATATATATATTTTTTTTTATATATCAATTACTCTTGTAAAACTTCTGTTCTCTTCATAATACAAACATATTTTTTATATTCCATTTTTCATTATTTTTTTTTTTTTTTTTTTTTACAATTCAAAAAATATACGTGCACCACGATAAAAACAGTAGAGAAAAAATTAAAGATAATTTATATATCTTAATATTTATTATCTTCTTAGTACACATAGAGTTAATAAAATGTGGATGTGTGTTATTTAAATTTTCCATTAGAGGAAAATATATTTTCACATTATATTTTTAGTTTTAATATAAAAAAAATAGAGTAACCAATTAAACTTTGATTGATATATATTTTTTTTTTATGTGTATTTTTTTTTTTTTTATTTATATAAAGAAATAAATATGACCCTTTATTTTTTTTATTTAAACGAATATGATGAAATAATAAAGTTTAATAATATCATATATATTTTTAACAACGCTTATTATTTAAAAGAAATACATGAAAATATATTCTTTAATTTTGAAGTACTTATAATTGCAATAATTTATTTTTGAGAATATATCATTAAAATTATATATTATATTTATTTTAAAGAAAAATTCCTACTTTTATGTATTATTGAACGAATAGAGCCCAATTAGTTATAAGAATATTTTTTCTTTGATCCAAATATATTTTTATTAATATAAACAATAGTTTATCCTTGCTATTTAATTAAAAAATACTACAGTATAAATTTAATATTTAATTCTCAAAAAAAAAAAAAAAAAATATTAAATGATAAAATAATAATATATTTTGCTTGAAAGAGTACACAAAAAAAAAAAAAAAAATATAAAACAAAACAAAAAGATTAAGACAAAAAAAATAATTATTTTTTTATATTTCAAAAAAAAAAAAAAAATACAATACTCTTTATGTATATTTTTTTTACTATTTTTTAGTGCATTATAAAAGTTAAATTACATTTTATTTTTTACTTAAACATTCTTAGCAACACTAACATTAACTCCTCTAGTATTAAATTCAGAACGATCAACAATTTCAGATAAATCAGAAAATTTAGTTCTATTTTTATCAACTATTGTAGGACCTCCTTGTTTATGAACACCGGTATAAGTTGATTTATCATCGAAGAATCTTACATGATCAGTTTTTGTACCATATAAAATAGGTCCATTTGAAGCTTCGCTACATAATTGTTCTACAAATTTATCATAGTCTAAACTGTGTTTATCTACTAAGCTTCTAATTGCTTCAACAAATTGATTGTAATTAATTCTCTTAGCACCTTTAGTTTTGACTCTTGCAAATGTAAGATCAGCATCAACTGTTGTCAATTTTTTATTCAACAGATCTAGGAAATAGAAAAATAGATAGAGTAATTTTAAATAATATTTACTTTAAATAAATATATTGTTTTTTTTTTTTTTAATATAGGCTTAAGTTATTTTAAAACGTTAAAAAAATACAATAGTTACACGTTTTAAAAAAAAATAATTATTTAATTTTATAAATATATCTTTATATATTTGAATAATTTATATAACGAAAAGTTTTAAATCCTTATAAATTATTAATTTTTATACTTAAGGAGTATTATAAATTTATTACTTGAATCCTTTAGAATTTTTACAAAAGTTCTACTGTCCATGTCAGACGCATTTTTAGTATATATATAAAAAGCATTTTCCATTTTTATAAAATATATCTTTATAAAAATTAAAAGGAAAAAGTATAATATTAATTATTAAATTATTTAAGAAGAAATAAAAAATAAATATAACTGATTAAAAACATATATTTTAATTCTTCAAAAAAAGGTACAAACAAAATATTGTTGATCTAAAGATTACAAGGTGTTACAAAAAAAAAATCAAAGTTTTTATAAAAAAAAAAAAAAAAAAAACAACCACAATTAAACTCTTTAGATAAAAAAAAAAAAAAGTAATGAACAAGCTAATTCGAAGTTTTTTTTTTTTTTTTTTTTTATTTTTAAAATTATTTTATGTTAATATCAAATTATCTAAATATTGATAAGCTTAAAAAAAGATATAAAAAAAATAATATTTCTTTTGATTTTTCTTTAATTATTTTTCAACACCAAACAAAAATTATCAAAATATGTGTATCTTTTACAACTGGCTAGTCTTGTTTGAAGATTTTTTTATTACGATTTAATACATGCAAAATAGGAATAAAAAAGGTATACAGAAAAAAAAAAGATGTATTCACATTTTTCTTATTTTATAATTTATAAAAAAAGTAAGTATTTTTTTACACCTTTTTAGTTTTCATAAGGAATCCCTAAGTAATTTTTTTTTTTAATATGTATATTTTTTAAAAAGCTTATTATTTATGAAAACAAAAATAATGTATGAAGCAAAAAAATGTCATCATGCAAAAACGCATATAAGTATAAATTAATATACTTTTAAATATACATTTTATAAAAGCAAAAAAAAAAAAAAAAAAAAAAAAAAGTATTTAAAAATCGATATTAATTTTTTTTGAATTTTATGTTAAAGTTAGATTTTATAGTTTTCTTTTCATTATTTTTTTTTTTTACATTAAAATATTTAAAATATGAATAGCATTAATTTTATTTTTAAAATCCCCAACTTTTCAAAAATATTGGTAATTTTAATTTAATATATAATAAAAATAAAATATACCAATTTTTTTTGTTTTTTTTTTTTTTTTTGGATTCACTTTTTTTTTGTTTTTTAAATATAATTAAACAGACAAACGTACGATATTTTTCTGATAGAAAAAGGAAAATTATGAATGGTACAGAATATATTAGAAGAAAAACTGGATATGGAGGAAGAATAAGAAGAAATCGACAAGCACCAGCTTATAAAAGATAGATTACTTTTTAAGTTTGTTTATTTTTTATTATACGAGAAAGTTAAGAAAAAAAGATTTAAGTATATATTTAAAAAAAAGAAAATATGAAGTTATAAAATTTTTTAATTTTATTAATGTTAAAAATCATAAAAAAACAAAAATCTGCATTATTATAAAATAATTTAATGGATTAACTAATCAGTCATTGAGAAACTATTTTTAATAAAAAACTTTTTTATTTTTTTTTATAAAGATAACTGTGTATATAGAAGAAAAAAGGAAAAAAAATATGTCTATAATTTCATGTAAAGTATAAACACATACATTCATATATATATTTATATATATATATATATATATATATATATATATATATATATTTTTAATTTTATTTAATATTTTATAACGATGGGTACTTTCAATACTTCCTTTTTTCAAAAACAAACATTTTTGCAGATCTAGAAGAATTGTTTAACTTTATTTCATTTTCGCTAGGAGTTATGGCATTCTTATTAATTTTTATCCATAGCTTCTTTTTTCTTTCAACAAATTTTTCAATACACATATGTTCCAATGAATGATATGATATAGTTATTAACCTTTTTGTTGGTTTTAATATTTTATGTGCAGAAATTAAGAATTCCTTTAAAGCTTTTAATTCATCATTAATATAAATTCTAAAGGATTGAAAAACTCTTGATAAAACTTTATTATTTGATTTATAATTTTTTTTACAAGTTAAAAGGACAATATGTTTCAAGTCATATGTTGTAACTATCTTTCCATTATTTTTCCTCCATTGAACTATTTTCTTTGCTATTTTTAAAGCTTTTTTTTCTTCACCAAATGTTTCTATAATAAATTTTAATTTTTTTAAGCTATATGTGTTTAAAATGTTATGTATTTTATTATTTATATTGTCACTGTTATTTGAAATAGTACTATAATTTTTGTTAGAAAAATAAGAATTTACAAATTCTTCTTCCGTATACTTATTCATATTCATATCTAGAATACCGTTATATTTATAACTAAAACCCCGTCTAATACTCTTTAATTGATGAGATGATACTCCTAAATCTATTAATATTCCACTATAATTTGATAATGGTAAAGAATTATAATTTAGCAAATGCAAAATATTTCTATAATCACCATGTATAAGGAATAGTCTGTTTTTATCTATATAATTTTTTAATTTTAATTTGTTGTAATAAATTGATTCTATATCTTTATCTATCGCTATAACTTTCGAATTTTCTATTTTTTTTAAAATTTCTAAAGTATGGCCACCTCCTCCCAGAGTTGCATCAATATAATAGTTATTTTCTTCTCCACCATTTGTGTTTTTTTGTTCTTTACTTATATGAAATGATTTTATCGAATCGTAATTTCTTAAATTTTTCTTTTCCATTCCTTTTAAATCTTTGCTTTCATATAAAAAACATTTTTCTTTATCAATACATCGTTTGTTTATATTTAAATTAGTTATATTTTTATTTGAAGGACTTGAATTTAACTTTAACTCAATTTTATCAGAATTATTAATACATTCATTTAATTTGTTACATTCTTCTTTGTTATTTATATATTGGATTACTTCACTCAGTAAAACAGGTGTATGATAAACATATGACTTGTCATAAATATTAGATTCATTTTCTTCTCTTACATTATTCCTTAATGAAAAAAAAGAATTAGTGAATTTATTACTTTTATAAGAAACTTTACTTTTTTTAACTAAATAATTTAAATGAAAAGGTTCACAATAATTTTTCCAATTTTTGATTTTATAACATTTATAATTGTTAATTAAGCAAATAAGAATGGCTAATAATTTATACATTCAATGTTTAGATAAAATTTAAAAAAAAAAAAAAAAAAGTAAAAAAGGAAAAAAGGAAAAAAGGAAAAATAGAAAAAAAGAAAAAAAGAAAAATTAATAAAGTTACACAAAAATTTTAATGAGAAAACCGTTTTAATATTAAAAAATGATAAAACATGAAAATTCAGAAAAATAAAAGTTAAAAAAAAAAAAAAAGTTTTTAAAGAAATAAAAGCAAATATTATATAATATATAAAAGGAAAAATAAATATGACTAATATAAAAAGTACAGATAAATTCAAAATAGTTGTTTAAATATGTTAAGAAATATAAAAAATGCTTTAAAAAATTATGTATACTAAAATTTTTTTAAAGGAGGAAATTATTTATAATAATATTGTAAAAAATATTAATATATTATATTTAAATCACAAGTATTACTATTTGTAAATATCAAATTTTATTAAGTTTAAATTTTTATCGAAGAATATATTACCACATTAAAAACTCTCATTTTATAAATGTGAATACAAGAAAATTCACCAGAAAAAAATAATACAATAATATTAAATAAATAAAATAGACAACGAGTAATAAAATATGAATATAACAAGATATGTAATATTAACCTTCTTATTATATACAATAATTTTAAATTATAAAATATTTATTTATTTAATTAATACCAATTTATATGAATTAATGGAAAAAAAGAATTTATATAAAATTTTTGGTTACTATTTACATAACTTTTTAGATTATGGATTTATTTCTATTTATATTACTGTCGGTTTTTTACCAAACAAAAATGTATATATGAAGCAAAGTAAATCTAATTATATATTTGCAAAAATATTATTAGTGTATTTTTTATTTTTTTTTTTGCATTTTACTATTAATATTTTCAATAATTTCCCTTTGAATATATTTTATTTAGTTATTACAATTTTTCATTTATCTGAGTTTTTTCTATCATTTTTGCACAATAAAGATAATCACAATTTTTATAATTTTCTAGTAAATCCAAATCGTCTTTATGTTTATTTTTTTATATGCACATTAATTGAATATTATGCTAAGATATTTCTATTTGTAATACTATCTATTTTTGAAAAGAATATAAATAAAAAATTTCTTCATAAGGCATTATTGTTTAACCTTTTTTTTTTGAAAAATTATATAGAAAATTATGGAAATTGTTCTTATTCATATTTTAATGCAATAAAAGTAGATAATTTTAATTTATCTGATACAAAAGAAATGAGTGAAAGAATAGAAATTTTTAAAAATTGCAAATATTATAACAATCAAATTATGGATATACATTTATCAAAAAGAAAAATGTTAAAAGAGAATCATTTAACATGTTTGCTTAATAATCTATTCATAAGAGATACTTCAGATAAAAAAATATTACTCCATAATAATGAGGAAATTGAGTATAATGAGTTTAAAAGGAAGACAAATGAAAATTATAAGACAACAGAAAAATACAAAAATATAAAAGATAATACTGGAATATTTACATATGGAAAATGTATTTTTGGTAACATTACTTTTAAAAATATAATAGATAAATATATGGACAATTTATTTATTAAAACATATGATTTAAATGACTCTTTTTTTCAGAAAATCATTTTAAAATATAAAGGGATATTTTATAAATATGAGTTACCAAAAATTTCTAAAAAACTATATAACTATTATTTATATGTAATTTTATCATCTTTAGTACTTAGTTTAATTGGTCTATTTTTGAGATTATTTGGAATAATTCAGTGTTCAAGTAATTTTTCCTTCTATGTTTTAAGTTCGCATTCTTTACGAAAAAAAAATATGAAAAAAGAACATCATTTAGTAAAGAAAGGGTTATATAAATATATGAGACACCCATGTTATACAGGATGGTTTTATTATTCATTATGTAAGATAATATATATTAAGTGTTTTTAAATTATTAGGAACATATGAAGTTTTTATTTTTCTTTATATATTTTATTACAAGCTTTTAGTATAATGATTTGAAATATCATATTTTAAAAAATAATCATTTATATATATTATTATTTTAGTATATAGTTGTTTATACATTTATTACTAAATGTTTATTATTTATTTTATTTTTTTTTTTTTTTTTAGTTTTACAGTTATTTTTATTTAATATTTTTTGTTTTTTCCTTTCTTTTATAATATCATGGGCATTTTTATATAGAACCATAAAAATTGAAGAAAGGAATTTATTAAAGTGCTATAATGAAGAATATAGGAAGTACAAAGAGGAAACCCCCCATATATAGTAATACATTATACATTAATATAATACTTTAAAAAAAAAAGAAAAATAAATAAATGAATAAATAAGTTATGAAACAAAATATATATTCATATCTAAAAATATCACAGTTTTATATTACTAAAAGTTTTTTTTTTTTTTTTTTTTTTTTTTTTGTTTATTAGTATACCATTCATAAATAATATTTGAGTTACTGTAGAAAGTCTATTTTTTCAAAAATTATAATTATTTTATGTTTATACAGAATATAATTTTGAACTATTTTTGCACATAAATGTGTGTAAATTTATAAAAAGACAATTAAACAGTAAAATGATTATTTTTTGTTCTTTTTTTATATATATGTGTTATAATATCATTCAGTGTTATAATTATATGTTTCTTATCATTCATGATATTTTTATTAATTTTTTTTTTTTTTTTATTAAGGAATAATTAAAAAAAAATTGTTATGAAAATAAATTTAACAAAAATGACAAAACACAAATTAAAAATATAAAAAAATATTTTTATCTAAGTAAATTGTCTTTTCTTAAATATTTCATGCAGATACACAATTATTTTCAATAACTAATTTTTTATTATTTATATTTTCGTTAGTATAATTACTATTTTCATTTTCTAATGATATATTTGCTCCTTCACTTTTCCACAAATTTAAAGAAACATGCATAGCATCAATGTAATTATTAACATACTTATTTGTATATAATTTTTCTTCTACGAAATATTTGAGTTCCTAAAAAATTAAAAAATTAATAAATCAATTCAACATTTTTTTTTTTATTTAAATATATTTCATTTATTCTTCTTATGTTTTTACATTTAGTGCGCTTTGCTGGGAATCCCCTATGAAAAGACTTGGATACTCATAATGATTTAAGCAACGTTGTAATTGAAAACCTTATTAAAAAAAAAATATATATATTTATATATTTTAAATAATATATTTATTTATTAAAATGGATAATCGATTAGATATACAATAATATATATATATATATAATTATTTCCTTACAATTGTGTTCCTTATTATAAGATACAATAATAAACCCATTTTCTCCATATATTTTTAATGTAAATATTTTATTGGGACTATTAGTAGAAATAATGAAATTACAATTTAAAGAATCAAAAACAACATTACCTGCTATGCAGTTAATTGAAACATTTTCATTTTTAATAGAATAACATTTTCCTAGAGCATGTTTTGATTTTTCAAATAAAAATTCAATTAAAGAAATCATTAAAATACATCTATAAAATAATATATTTTTAACTTCTTCATTTTCAACAAAATAAGGAATGAATGTTGATTCTGCTTGTACACCATATATATAACCTAATTCATTAAGTACGTTTTTAAGATTGTGAAATACTTGCTCATTTAATAAAGGATTAAATATATTCCAATAAAATTGTTTATTCTTATTTTTAAATTCTTCTTTCACATCATATATAATGTTTGTTGTTATATTGAAATTATTTAATAATGTTCTAAAATTTTTTAGTTTTTCAATGTTTAGTGTTGGTAGATTAGAACTGAATACAAAAAAGAATTTTTTTTGTTTTATTATATTCTCTATTAGTAATTCATGAAATTCATTAGTAGGTAGAGATAAAAATAATAAATCAACATTTTCAGGATTTAGACAATCTAAATATTCAAAAATATCATTAGTAGTATTTGTTTCTGTATCATTTAAATTAAATGTATCTATAAAACAATTTTTTAATTTCTCATCATTACAAAATAAATATTTTATTTTCCATTCATTTATAATTACAGGAATCCATTTAAAGGCTTCCTTATCACAAATCAAGCAAATAGAAGGTTTATTTAAAATCATATTTAATAGAAAAAGACAAAAAAAGAATTAAAAAAAATTTAAAAAGACAACTTTTACATATATATATACAACTTTTTATAAATATATAGAAAACAATTATAACGAAATAAAATATAAAAAAAAAAAAAAAATATAAAAAATTTTATAATTAATTTAATAATTAAGAATGAAAATAAAAAGTAAAAAGATTCAAACAATAAGATCCTTAATTAAAAACCTTTCAAATAATAGATTTCGTTATTTATAAAACAAAAAAAAAATGTTATAACTTATACTCAAATAAATAAATGTTAGCAATATATAAAAAAAAAAAAAAAATGTCATGCACATTCATGCAACAAAAATATAACATTTCATATAATTTTAAAAAAAATAATTATAAACAAAAATTACTATTTTCCATACTACAGTCTTTTTTTTTTTTTTTTTTATTTTTCTATTGTTAATAAAATTGTGCGTTTTTATGCATATAAAATTAAACTAAGAAAAATTAAAGTTAATTTAACAAGAATAAAAAAAATGAAGGAAGGTATTATGATTTCAAAATATATAATTTATGTAGTTACATAAAAAACAATAAAAAATATACATAAATAATAATACAACAAATTATAATAAATGATCTATCGAATTATTAGAAAAATGAAATAAAATAAAAAAAATAATCAATTAGTTTTATAGTTATTAAAAATTACTATTATAAATTATTTTATATGGGATGAAGTTACTATGTGAAACTCTGTGCTAATTTTATATATTTTTATTCATTTTATATATATTTAATTATTTTTCTTTATAATAATTTAAAATAATAAATTAACAGATTTTCAACAAGATGTAAGAAAAATAAATAATAATAAATTTATAAATATATATTTTAAAAAATAAAATGTCTCGACTTTTTTTTTTCTTTTAATTTATATTACTTTCTTCAATGAATATGCTTTTTAATATAACAGTACTATAAGTTTGTGTTTTTTTTTTTTAAAAAACATGTGATTAAAATAATAAATTGAAAGAAAAATATTTGAAAAAAATTATCATTAAGAAAAACCATTTTTAATAATATTCCTAATATTTAATTAAACAACTAAAAAAAAAAAGACAATAATATTGAATGCTATAATTTAATTAAATTAATTTGTTCATTTTAGGTAATTAAGTAAATTAGATGAAAATATAAAAAATTTAATAGAGATAAAAAAAAAAAAAAAACTTATTTAAAAGCTTTTATTTTTCTTAATATTTTTATAGGTTATTCAAAATTATATAAATTGTCTCAATAATGGTTATTCAAAATTTAAATTTATTTTAACTGGAAACTTTTATATTTATAGAAAAATATAATAAAATAATTAGAGAATATGTATAAATAAATCAACTTTTTAAATACAAAAATGGAAATTAAATTCAAAATAAATTATTTTTATTACTTCGCGTTTTACTTAATTTTAAATATATTATATATATATATATATTTATATATATGTATTATAACTAAATAAATAATTTCTTATAATATTTATATCTTTTTCATATCATTGTATAAAAAAAAAAATTTATTATTATTATAATATTTGTTTTATATATACTATTAGAATTATTATAAATTCACATACATTTATATACTGAATAGAATTATAAAAAAGTGGTATTTCAATATATATGCTATCTGAAGTATATATTTCTTTAATTATCATTTTATAATATTTTTATGATATATATATATATATATAATATAGAAAATGACAAAAATTTATTTTATTCTCATTTATTTTGTACTTCTGAAAAATAAAAAAAAATATTTTTTGAATATCATTTAAAATAAAATAGAAAAATAAAAACACAAAAATATATTATATATAATTTTTAATTTTATTTATAATATTTTTTTTTTATTTTTTTTTTTATTTTTTTTTTTTTTTGTATAAAAAATAGTATGTTTTAATAGAAATTTTTTTTTTTTTTAAACAACATATATTTTAAATTTTATGTTTAAATTTATCTTTTTAAAATTTTACTCTTTTTTTTAAAGCATTGTATAAAAAAATGAAAATAAAAATTATAAAATATAAAAATTAATAATATAAAAAATTGCTATAGATAAGTATTTATATATATATATATATAAATAAGCTTAAAACTTTTAAAAATAGTAAAAATATCATTTTAGTATATTATATATTTTTATATTTTTATTTTTTTTTTTTTTTTTTTTTTTGTCTTATTTTTGAAAATTAAAATGCATAAAACTATAAGAAAAATTTTTGATAGTAAAATATGTGATAAAATAGAAAATATGAAAATATTATTAGTAGGTGCAGGAGGAATAGGTAGTGAATTTTTAAAAAATATAATTACAATAGGATGCAAAAATATAGATATAATAGACATAGATACAATTGATATAACTAATTTAAATAGACAATTTTTGTTTAAAAAAAAAGATGTAAAAAAATACAAATCTGTTGTAGCTAAAGAAAGAGCTTTAAAATATAACAAAAATTTAAATATTAATGCTTATACTTTTGATGTGTGTATAATGAAAAGTAGTGATATAAAAAAATATGATTACATAATAAATGCTTTGGATAATATTAAAGCTAGAAAATATGTGAATAAATTATGTGTAATGGAAAAAAAAGTTTTAATTGAAGCAGGTAGTACTGGTTATAATGGTCAAGTATATCCAATTTATCCAAATGAAACTAAATGTTACAACTGTGAAGAAAAACCAAAAAATAAAACTTATGCTATATGTACAATAAGACAAACCCCAACTTTACCTGAACATTGTGTTGCATGGGGAAAATTAATTTTTGAAATGTTTTTTTGTAAAAATGATAATGAAACATTAATTGACATAAAAAATCATATTGAAGAAGAATCAAAAAAAAGAAATATGGAAAAAATGGAAATAATTATTTTTATTTTCAATTATTTATTTCATGATACTATATGTGAACTTATTTCTTTAAAAAAGGATTTTGCAATTATGCCTATACCCATATTATTTGAATTAGAAAATTCTAATGATAATACTTGTAATATAGAAAAAAATATAAAAAGCTATGATAAATCAGAAAAAAAAAATGAATTTGAAAAGAATAAGAAAACAAAAAATAATGTAAATATTGATGAAAATATTAAAATAAATGATAAAAATATTCTACTTAAAAATAAAAAAGAAGAAAATACTATACAATTATGTGCTCAAAATATATGGGATAAAAAAAAATGTATAGAAATCTATGTAAAAACCTTTTTAAAATTATATAGTTATTTAAATATTAATAAAAATGTAGAGGAATATTTAATATTTGATAAAGATGATGATGATTGTATTAATTTTATAACAGCTATATCTAATTTAAGAATGATGAATTTTTCAATTAATCAAAAAAGTAAGTTTGATATACAATCAATTGCAGGAAATATAATCCCAGCAATCTCATCAACTAATGCAATAGTTGCATCTCTTCAAGCATTTCAATTGATTCATGTTATTGAATACTTTGAAATCTTAAAATATAAAAATGATGAAAAAATTAATTTAAGAAATAGCAAAGCAAAACATGTATGGGTAAAAAGTATTGTTAGTGGTAATAATATTTTTTCAAGAGGAAATTTAGTAAATTCAGAAAAGTTAGAAGAACCTAATCCTAACTGTTACATATGCCAGCAACCAATGATAGATATTTATATTAAAAATTTTAATGATATAACCTTATATGATTTCATAAAAGATATATGCACAAATGAACTATCTTTCTTATATCCATTTTTAGATAAACAAGATAGAAACATATTTGATTATGATTTATTTCTAGAAAATGATGAAGATTATATAAAAAGTTTATATAAATCATTAAGTGAGTGGGATATTAAAAATGATGAAATTTTGATTTTAACTGATTTTCAAAATAGTAATGATCAGTTAGAAATTCATTTAAAAGAAGATCCTACATTAGAAAGTATATATTTTATAAAACAGAAAATAAACAAAAAAAGAAAAGAAAGAAGTATGAGTGAGGAAGATAGTACCAAGAGGTATATATATTTTTTTCAAGAAAAAAAAAAAAAAATTAAAAATAATACTATAAATAATACATAAATATTATATTTATTATATGCATTCATAAAAATATCATGACGAATTATTTTTACAAAAAATATTTATAAGTTTTTCCTTTTATTGAATGTTTTACATATATATATATATTTTGCTTTTAATTTATAATTGGTTAAAATTTACCTTTTAAAATTTTTTTTCATTTCATAATTTTGAATTAACTTTTTTTTCCTTTTTCTTATTTTAGTGCAAAAAAAATGAGACATACTATTTGTGATGAAAAAAAGACAGATGATAAAAAGGTATTCCAGAAAGTAAACGAAATTGATGAAATAATAATAGATGATGAGGAAAATAATAATGAAGATTTTGTATTAATTGATTAAGAATATACTAAAAGTTTTTTCAAATTGGTTATTGTTATTTATTTTTTTTTTTTTAATAATTAAATATTTTGTTTTTTTTTTTTTTTTTTTTTTTTTAAATATTTAAAAAAATTCTTTAATAAAAAAGAAAAGAAAAAATAATATATGTTAAAAAAATATTTTAAAAAATAAACACATTGAAATAAATTAATTAAAGCAAAAATACATAATGTATTTCTTTAATTCAAAATTAAAAGTCAAAAATTAAAAAGATTAATATGTATGTATATTTTAAATAATTAAAAATTAATAAAATTGTAAATTTCACTATTTTTAACACAAATGGCTAATATGTATAATTTATTTGTTATCTATTTTTTTTTTTTTTTTTTTTATATATATATTTTTTAATGTGATTATTTTCAATTTATAATTTATGCTTTCTATTTTTTAACATCATTCCTACAAATTATTTTTTTTTTTTATGCTCTTTTAAATTTGATATATACAAATGTTAAAAATTTTTTTTTTTTTCTTACAATTTTATGTAATATTAATTTATCTAAATATGAAAATTATTTATTTTTTTTTTTTTTATTTTCTTTTAAAAATATAATGATAGTTTTATATTAATAAAATTTCATTAATAATTTAAATTGAAACTATATTTTTAATATTATATATATATATATATATATATATTTATCTCTAATTACGTTTTTTATTTCTTTCAATTAATATATCCACCTTATATGCAACAATATAAACATTAACATATATAGAAATTAAATTATAAAAATTATTATCAAAAATTTGTATAAGTAAACCTCGAGAAGGTTTAAAATAATGATCTATAATATTTATATTTTTAAAATATATTTTTTTTGAGTTTTTATGAACAATTAAGGTTTTATTTTTTATTTGAATTATGGGATATAATATATTTTTAAACTTGTAAGGATGAATATCATTTTTTTTAATTTTTATAACGTCATCCATATTGTCGTTAAGTTCATTTTCTTTAATTACTTCATTTAAAAAAAAAAGTAATTGAACATTATTGATGTTAAAGTTGACAATCTGAAAAAATTTATACAAAAGATTTAAAGGAACAATATTTTCAATTTTTATTTTTTTCATCTTATAAGTGGAATCATATAATTTAATAAATCGTTCGTATACATTTAAAGTTCTTCGTGTATCTTCTTCTTCTTCTTCTATATCATAATTATCATTATTATTTTCTTTTTCATTATTTATAAAAATAGCTTGATTTAAAAAACTATTGTTATGTTGTAATATACTTAAATATGGAATAACAAATTGTGATAAATTTTTAGAATTGATATAATTTTTTATAGTATGATTGTTAAAATCAGATAATTCTATACTCTTTAAAATATTATCAAATGGATGATGTAAATTTTTTTTTTTATAATAAATATAATTTCTCTGAATTGATTTGAAATATATGAAAATATCATTTGTCGTATAAGGTAAGAATATATTATAAAAAAGTAAAAGAAAAAATATACTGCAATTTTTATATTGCTTATAATTATTCAAAATGTAATTGGTGTTCTTTAATAATGTTTCCAAGCATAAATTAACTAAATCTTCTTTATAATATTCTCTATATTTTAAAAAAAAAAATTCATCATAATATTCTTTTTTTTCCATTTCTTCATTTAATTTATTATCTTCTAAATTATACTTTTTTATAGAACTAAACTGGTCCACTATGTTTTTAATTTTATTAAAATTATAATTCTTCATAAAATTTGAAACAGAATTTTCATCTAAATTTGATAATTCATTTTTTATAATATTTTCATTATTATAAGTGCTCTTTTCTTCATTTATATTCTCATTAACATAAGTTGACATTTTTTTTAATTTATTTTTACTAGAGTTGTATTTATTATTAATTTTTTTGTTTAAATCACTTACACTTTCACACATTTCGTAATTTGTTTTAATACTCTTATTATAATCATATATCATAGATAATATATATTCCACACTTACTCCATCATTTTTGTTATATATATTGTTCACATAATAATTTTTTTTTTTTTTTAGTTCACACATGAGTAATTTTAATTTTTCAATGTATATCAATCTTTCTTCTTCACTTATAATTTTAAAATTATTTAACATATAATTATAAATGCTATTAAATTCTTGGTTAAGATTTTTTTCATTTTGTTGTAAAAGTAAGCTTTTTTTTCTATCATCTATATCTTCTTCAGTTAATGGATGGCTGTTTTTATTATTTTCAACTAATGATGATGCTGATAAACCTTTATCATTTTCTTTCATGTTATCACTATTGCTATTATTATCTTCACTTAAAAATAATTTTAATTCAATATCGTATAAGGAATGATCAAAAAAATGAAAATCTATAAAAGAAAAAAATAAAGTCATTATGCTTGAAACTTTTAAATCATGTATTTGCTTTATTAATATATTTTTAATGATAATAGATATATGAATAGAAAAATATGAATAATAAGACAAGTTATATAAGCTTTCAAGGGCATTGATCAAGTAACTATTATCAATAGTTTTAAAATTTATTAAAATATTATTCAAATCTAATTTATAATTTTTAACATCAAAGAATAAATATGGATTATAATAACTTTTAAAATATTCATCTTCTCTCAATTTTTCTACTCCTTTATATATGGAATTATTTATTCTTATATTACCACTTTTTTTTGTGAATTCATCATTATCTACGTAATTATTTTTTATATAATTATTTTTATTATTAAGGTGATAGTAATGCTGTTTTATAAATTTGTTTTTATATATATCATTATTATTGTTATTCTTGTCTAAATATGTTAAAACCTTCTGCTCATTGGCTATAATTAGAAGTAATAATAAAATAAAATTTTCATCTCTTAAATTTAACAAACTTAAAATATATAAAAATTTACAAGCACATTTAGAAGATATATCAGAGAATTTATAGGTAAATAAAAAATTATAAATATCAAATATGATATCATCAATTTGTTCATTTTTCGTTTTTATATAATATTTTGAAAGAGCTAATAATAAATGTTGCAATGAAGTAATATTAACACTATGAATATATTTATATGTAATATCTTTTATTTCATCATATAATTCTGAAGGAAATATATTTATTTTTGACAAGCAGGATATAGATATACAAAATGAATTTATATTAATATTTTTAAAAATTATCAATTTTTTTATAATTTCTTTTATTAATTCATCTTCAATTTTAATAATTTCCATTTCTTTATTTTTCATTTCAATTAAATTATATTTACTCATTTGTTCCTTTTTTCTATCAATTAAAAAATTATTGGTTTCATCTTTTTTCTCTTTTGATTTATTTAATTCTATTTTATTTTTTGAGTTAATACTTAGTAAATCGGTTGAACTATCATTAATTATATGAGCAATTTTATCAGATATATTTCTTGATTCTTTGCATTTTAAATGATAATTATAATCTTTCTCATTGTTTACACTTAATTCTTTTTTATACTCAGAAATATTGAGTATATTTTTATTACTAGAATTACTTATCTTATTTTCTTCATAGCAATAATTATAAATTGTATTTCCATCATTCATATGTATACTACTGTCATCTTTTCCCAAATTATTTTTTTCATTTATTATATTTTTTTCTTTTATAACATTGTTTTGTTTAATTAAGTTATTTTCTTTACATTTATTCAAAAATTTGTAATCAGATACTAAATATTTTTTTACATTCTTTATATCATTAACATTTAAGAAGTTAGTATTATATTTATTATCTAATTTTACTATTTTTTTATTTTTATTTATATATTCTAAAGTTATTAAATTTCTTTTTTTTTTAGATATTAAGTTATTTAAACCATAAAGCAAACAAGATAAACCATATTCATTAATTTTATCAATTTTTCTAATTATTTCTTTTATTACTAATTTATAAAAATCAAAATGTGAATTTTTAATTTTTAGCTTACCCATGGAATATATTAAAGCGACTAATGAGTGTATATTAGAATCTTTAATATCATTTATAAAATTTTTTTTATCTAAACAAAAAAAATTATTATTGAACAGTTGATATTTCGCTAAAATATTACATATTATTATATTACTATTTAATGAAATGTTTTTTTTTTTGTATATAAATATATTTAATATTTTATTAATCATTAATAAATCATAACTACTGTTATTATATTTTGCATGATTAACAAATATATTTAGAATATCTTTTTCATTAAAATCATTCAAAAAAAAGTAAATAATTTTAACTAAATAATTACTACATTCTATAAAACTGTTCTTGTTTAAATGTAAAAAACTATTTAGCATATCTTTCTTTTTAATGGTTATGTTATATTTAAAATCTGAATCGTTTAATATAATGAAACAGTTTAATTTTTCTTTTTCATTTTCACTAATAATTCCACATTTTAGAAATTCTTTATGTACATAAGATATATTATTAAAAAAAGCATTTTTTTTTAACAATAAATTTTTCGATATTGTACAAGGTTTTCTCTTTTTTAAATTCTTATAAGTAGATGATAAGTTTTCTTTTTCTATATTATCATTATTATTCAAATGATTTTTTTCATTTATAAATTTATCTTTAATTGTATTCTCTTTATGTGTATTTTTGTATAAATCTCTTTCTGTTTGGTTATTAATGATATTTAAATTTAATTCATTTTCTTTATCTTTTTCATTTTCTTTATCTTTTTCATTTTCTTTTTCTTTTTCATTTTCTTTTTCTTTTTCGAAATTGTCTTCTTTTATAGTATTTTTCTTTATTTTACGACTAAAAAAAGGATTATAAAATGTTTGTTTTTGAATTTTTATATTTTTTAGTTCACTTTCATATTTGTTAAATAAACTTTGATAATTTAAAAAGTTAAAATAAATACTCATTTCTTTTTTTTCTATTTGTGAATTAAAAAAATAATAATTTTCTAAATAATTTTGTTTAAATTTTTCAACGATACTATCGGATGCATATGTTTCAAAAAAAAGATACATAATAAATGTTATATTTTTTTCATAATTATTAGAGTTTTGATAAGCATATGATATTTTTTCTTTTATTAATTGATGATTATTTGATTTTTTGAATATATTTATAATTTTTTTATCTGAATCTACTAATATTTTTTTCCGAAAAATATTAAAAAAAATGTTTGAATAATTTAAATTAATAAAAAATGGTAGTAAATAAAAGTGAAAATATTTAATAATATTATTTAAAAATTTTAAAAATTCTTTTAAATATATTTCATAAAACTTATTTTCACTGGATAATATACTTGAAAAATAATGAAAAAGAAGTAGAGGATTATAAAAATAAAAATTTGAAAAATAAATGCATTTCATGTATTTATAAAGTCTATCATCATAATTATTGGCACATATAGTTAAAATACTACTTAAAACATATTCCTTTAGTATATATTGATTTTCAGTATTTTGGTGTTCATTTTTTTGTTCATTATTTTCTGCGTTTTTAAAATTTAAAAAATTTAATTTTAAATCATTATTTTCCAACTTTTCTCTTACATTTATTTCTTTTTCTATATTATTTGTCATATAAATATTATTCTTTTTTTCATAAAATTTTATCATCTTATGCTTGTCTGATTTTTCAAAAATTTCTTTATACACACTCAAATTATTTGATCTATTATTATAAAAAAAATATTTTATTTCTTCAGGATATATTTCATCTTTTCTAATTATATCTTCTTTATTTTTTTTATATTTAAATTTATTATTATTTTTAAGTTTGTCGTTTTTAATTTTGAATTTCAAATTGTTTGAATCAAAAAATTTTTGATTTTCATATAATTTATGTTTTTCAATATTGTTGTATTCATTTGTTTGATTAAACTTTTCTTTTATATTTTCATGTTTTTTTTCACAATTTTCTTTTGCAATTTCACTTATTTTATCAACATTTTTTTTTATGTTTTCATTTATAAAGTTGATTATGTCAAAAATATAAATAGTTGAAATAATATTTTTATCATTATGATCAATAAAAAATTTCTTGTTTAATATGTATTCATATGTTAATAATTTAATTTTTTCTTTTTTTTTTTTTTTTAATAATTCTATCTTTTTAACAAATGCGTCTAATGTAAAAAATTTTAAAAACTCAAAATTTTTAAATTCTACACTTAATTTTAAAATAAGAAATAAATGATACAAGTTTGTTTTAAAAATATATTGTTTCACTAAATTAACAATTGAATTAATATCATTAGTAATTATACAAAGATTTAAAACTTTTTTAATACAATGCTTTCTGTTATTTATAATATAATATTTATATTTATTTTTCTTTAAATTTTCTATATCTTTTTTTACTAATGTTAATAAGTCACATTTCAAAAAATTGCAATAATTTAAATGCCTTTTTCTTAAATTATTTTTTCTAAATAAGTATATAATTTCATTGTATTTTAAATTACTTAATAGTTTTATTCGTTCTTCAATTTTTTTTTTTTTATTGAATATATATATGTTTTTTTCATTTTTATTATCATATTTATATAAATAACTTTTTAGATTGACGTTTACAAAATTTAATTTTTTTCTTTTTAAAAAAAGATTTTGCATAATTATTCATTTTAATAATTTACATATATTTTATTTTTAAATTTAAAAAAATATAGTATTTAAAATTATTCCTGTTATTTTAACAATTTAAATAAAAACTTCTCATAAATGTATCTTTTTCATAATTTTTAATCTTAACAAAACTTGTTTTATAATTTGTATAATTTTTTTGTTAACATAATTTATTTTGTGATTAATATACAATTTTATTTTTTTTTTTCAAGATATTTCATTATAATGTATTAGATGTTTTTTTTTTTTTTTTTTTTTTTTTCTTAAA